TAACTTTTTTTCGCATAGCTACATTTAGTCTTGTACACCAATTGCTCTTTACAGCCTCTTGACAACAGGCTTTAGCCTTCATGCTCGATGTAGGCTTGGCAAATGCCATCAAGACGCAGGTCCCAAGAAAGCCACGTCAAGATGGGGGACCTTAAGCATTTTGGCAAAGAGATGGCCATCTCACCTCCAACAAGGTCGGTTGCTGGGGTCAAACCGATGCTCGACGTCACTGCGAAACCCCTCTCCCGCAGACCCAAAAGTGTACCTTGGATTGTCTGTGAAGCGCTTACCTCGACCTAATGCGCAGACAAATTCGGAACCTTCGTCTCGACCTGAAGCCTGTGGAAGAGGCGAGAGTCGGTAGCGTCCACGAAGAGCTTTGGCGCAGCCGAGGCAGATTACAACTCGACGAACGCTGCTCTTCCCACCCTGTTTGCAGGAAATTTCGGCCAAGAAGCCCTAGAGACATAAGCATAAAGCCTGATAGTTGCACGACAATGACATTGGAGGCACATCGAAAAAAAAGGAAAAAACGTGACGATATCATGCGAAGCTGGGATTCGACGAATCCCTTAATACATCTGGCTTTATGTGGCATTCATCTCGTTGGGAGAGGCAGATTGAAGGATGCGTAAATTGCTGGAATTGTGTGATTGCCTTGGAATTGTGACTGTTCGAGTGTGATAAGAACTTCTCACCTTTTTGTCCAGTAAATACGACGAATTTGTGCTGATTTTTTGTCCGTCATCAGAGCCAGAAAAATTCCCTTACGAAAGATTGGCCAAAACACCGGCCAAGATGGATGGCTGGCCGAAATGCTGCTTACCTCATGAATAATTGTGAGATAAATTGTGAAAAAAATTGAGTGATTTGATCGGCTCCTTCATGCTGACCATAACTGCTTGCATATGATTAAGGTTAATGCATACAGAGGATGCAGATTTTGATACAGTTTTCTCCTCATACAAATAAACAAGCGCCTGATTCTGCATTGTTCACGCGCATTGTGTACATCAGTTGAGAAGTTATAGCCCACATCAGAGTTCAAGTGATATGAAGAGAAACTGGGCTTCCAAGAGTCCCCTAGTAGAGTGATACTGGCGTAACTTTTATTTCGTTTGAGAAGGCGGGTCAAAATGACTCGTAGATTGACCTGACCAGATACCACAGGAGGGTTGCCTTGGACTTTTGTCTGCTGAATTGTGCAAAGCAGACCTCGGCTCACCTTACTACAACCCCGATGACTCCAAGCTGACCTTTCGTCTGTCTTGTGGCGGACATCGACAGAGCAGGAAATAATTATTTACGAAGAAATCTTCAAAATACACGAAACCAAGATAACTTTAGTGTTTCAGGTTTTTTGTTTGATTTTCTCTTGAATAACGGTTTTTAGCTTTGTCGATGTCCCCCACATGACGGACGAAAGCTCAGCACGGAGTCATCGGGGTTGTAGGACGTTGAGACGAAACCTGCTTCGCACAATTCAGCAGACAAAGGTCCAAGGCAACCCTCCTGTGGTATCCGGTAAGGTCAATCTACGAATCCCTTTGACCCGCTTACTCAAACGAAAGGTATGGTACGCCAATATCAGACTTTAATTAGGTCCAGCCCCCCTCTTTTACTTTGTGATTTGCTACTTC